TTTTATTTCATTTTTATCCGCTCCATGAGGAGCCAGCCATCAGAGCACTCCACCCACTGTGACTGTCACAGTGCCTTCTCCTCTATGGATCTTCCTCTCTTCCTCTATGTACGTGTATACCTTGGCTCTCGGTCCTATCCTGTCCTGAACTCTGCTTTTCTGTCCTGCCTCGGCACATTGTTTTTTTTCTGCACAAACTTTTTTTTTATGCTTCTACTTATAAACGCGCGAGACGTTGTAGGAGGAGAGGAGAGGATGCTGCGACGACATATCGCCATAACACCATCAACAGTTCATACGCCAAAGTAAAGTCGCTGTAGTCCTCCCAGCTACACTCGTTACTCTCTTCTTCTTTTTAGCGGGTATATTTGTTTCACAAACTAATTGATTCCAATTCATAAATGGAAGAAATTCGAACCACACAAAAGCCTACAAGATATAGAAACAAGGAAAAAATCTTTCGAGTTTTTATGCAGAGAATACATTTTTATTTATTTCGACATTTCTGTGCAAAAATTAAATCTAAATCGGATAGCCATAGCCCATGGGAAAAATAATGAATGTATTTGCAAGGGTATCAAGTTGTTCGGCACTCGTATCTAGCCCCTTTGCTTCTTGCTGTTATTGCTATGATGATGATTCTGCTGTTACACTCCTGCTGCTCCCTGCTCCAGCTCCTGGCTCCTGGCTCCGGCTCTGGCCTGTCGTTTACTCGGGGTCCTTTTTCGAGTCCGATTCGCGCGCACGGCTGCCATTGTTACAAAATGTGACAATAGAACGAACGGGGCAGAAGCTGAAACAGCTACAGCATCAGTAGGAGAAAAAGCAGAAAAAACACGAAGAGGGGTGGGATGGCAAGAGCTGGAGAAGAACCAGCCAGCCAGAAACAGAATCAACAACAACAATCGCAGGATGAAAATTTCAGGCAAGAACAAAAGAAGTAGAGTGCAGAAAAAGCCATACCCAAGCAGCGAAGTTTATATACGCTTTACGTTTATTAGCTTAATGATTCAATCCAATATTAATGGAATAATCTATTTCCATAAAATATTCCTTTGATTATTTTAAACATTAGTTCTCTTCTTCGCCAGGACCCAAATGTAATTTGTAAAATTTGGCGACCTTTTCTCGTTAGTTGCATCTCCTTCGAAATTGCAAGCAAATGCAACTCTACCCCCAAAGGGTATTAAAAACCAACGATGGCGGCGCCGTTGCTTCTGCAGCATCTCCTACTTAGTAGGAGAGTGCGAGGGAGAGACAGGCTGGGAGGGGATTATGGGTGGTATGGAGAAGGTGAAAAGGAGTTGCCAGTCAACCAAATAAATGAAACAACAAAGACAAACGCATACACAACGAAAAACACGCATACACACGCAAACACACACTTGCCGCCGCATAAAATATGCGAGAGCATACGGTGCCCATGCCGTTTCCCCCTCTTTGGTAGCCAACGGCAACGATGTAGAGCCTCTCTAGAGTGTCCTCTTATGTGACGGTCGGAGAGGGGTAGTCCGAAGCTTGCATATAAATAAACTGTTTTTTGTGCTCTCTGTGAAATGAGATTTACTGGAGCAGTGGAATAGGGGAGAGAGAAAGAGAGAGAGAGTGAGAGAGGGAACGGCAGAGCGTGGAGTGATTGTGAATGGTTATGAATGTGGATGGATCTCATTAACGCATGATTGCGCATCATTTCAATGAAAAGTTCAACTCAAATACAGATGCACTTAATTAAGATTGTATTTATTTGGCAAACTTTTAAATCTAGGATACATTTTAGTATTCCATCCAACCCAATTACCTTACAAAAGTGCAAGAAAGATTGATAGGGGGGGAGGGAATCATAGCAATGCCACACACAAAAAAGTAAAAACAGAAAATAAACTTGCCACACTAACTTTTGCTTGCACTTTGCATATTTTTTGCTTGCTCTCTTTACCTTTGCTGCTGCTGCAGCATCTCCTTTTATCCAGCACTCAAATTTTACTGACTTTGACAGGCCCCACAGAGTCTTGTGCTCTCTCTCCCTCACTCTTGCACTTGAGGCACTAGCAACTGTGAGTGGTCTGTCAGTGTGTCTGTGTGTGTAAATAGAATTCATCTCGCGACGACTTGCGACCCACTCTCCCACTTCTCCCTGTGCTCCCTGAACTGAAATGCAAAATATTACGCGGCTCTCGCTCTGTTCCAGCAGAAGCTCTCCTTCAAAGGCGGGCGGCACTCAGACACTCAAGCAAATGGCTACCAAAAAGCAAGCAGTCTCCATTCTCCCATTCCCGTGTAGCATCCAGCAACCATCCATCCATGGATCCATGGATCCCCGCACACACTCACACACACCCATTTTAGTCTGCATCTATCCATGTCAGGCAGCCAAAAGTGCGCTCATCTGTGGCTCTGCTGCTCGGCCCAAAAGTTTTTCGAGTATCTCTGTGCACGTCAAGAGTGTAGTTGTTACTGTATCTGTGTGTGTATCTGTTTGTCGATTTATCCTTTAGTTGCGCTTTAGTTTAGTTTTTTTTTTTTTTTTTTTGTGTCTCGTTCCGCTTTTGCTGCGCTAGTTGCGTTTGTGGTCTGCCTTTGTGGGAAATTACCATGGGTCTGTCCCTGACTATCGTTTCGTCTCTCCTTTCTTCCTACCCATCTCCTCCTTTCACTCTTTGTGTCTGTATCTCCTTCTGCTATACTCCCGTCCTTAATCCCGTTCTTCCTTCCTTTCTGTCTCTAGTGCTTTCACTCTTTGGCTAACTGTTTAGTTAGAGGGGAACAAAAAAGGGAGTTTTTGTTTGTGTCAGAGAGGTATCGATGGCGCATCTCTTCTGGCAGTATAAGCGTAACCTGCCATTAACGGAACTGTTGTGTGCCAGAAGAAAGAGACTATTGAAAGCCATAAAGCAGAAGGGCTGTGGTGTGTTCCATGCTTTAATTATGATAAATATTAGATTTAGATTTAATTGCAGTGTAGGGTACGCTTTGAAATAGTTTTTGATAGTTTCCCCGCTGTCGATTCAGTGTTGCTTGTTTTCTAATTACGTAATTGAAATAAAACTACCCTGACACACTCTGACAAAAACACGAAAAACTGTTTGCCAAACTCAAGTTGCTGCCAAGATTATCCACACTGCTTAGTAGCCTGCACCTCCTACATTCGGCCCGTCGAGTGAGTGTTCCTCGGAGGTGCCACCGCGCGCACTAGTGTGCTGTTTCTGTTGCTTTTGATTTGGATTTCGTTCCCTCTGCATCCCCTCCATCCCCTGGCACATTACCAAGGCAACAAACAAAGGGCCAGGCCAGGAATATATCACAGAGAACACAATCTCTTGCTCCTCGAGACGAGGTTGAATGAGGATTGAATGGCGGCTGCCAGCGGGAGGGCAGTCATGCATTAAATGACTGGTAGAGGAGCAAGGAAGGAGAAATGCCAATCAGTGGCTGCACACACACACACGAAAGACAGAGAGAGAGAGAGAAGGGCGCTTGTTAAATTCTTTTGCATTTAGTTTTGCTGTCGATAATGATGCTGCCGATGGATGATGGCTCCTCGTATAACCCTCTCCAATCCAATGCAATCCTTCTCCATATTCCATTCTATTCCCCTTCCCTTACAATGGAACGAGATGATGTCGATTTTGATGCATGCTTATGTTCGTTTATCCTCTGTCTTGTTCCACTACCCTCTCCGCAAAAGAGGAAATATTTTCTTCACCGTTTACTTTCAACTATTTTCATAACGTTCATATGGAGGGTATTTTCGAATTCGACTTGATATTCATGTTAGAGCTTTTCTGTTTGCGTATTATATTCAATTTAGTGCTGCTGCGGTTCCTTTGCTTCTGCATCTGCTGCCTGCCACATTCTCCATCTTCTTCTTCTCCGCCTTCCTGGGTTCCAGCTGTGGCGACGGCATATGCAAATTATTCCTGGGAAGCTGAGCAAAGGAGGCAAAGTAGCAGTAGAACCTCCTTGTCTGACTGCCTGCTGCTGTGGCTTCCTCTTTGCCTGGCAGCGACGGCTCCGTTTAATTCCATTTAGTTGGATAAAGACGAAAATTATTGCGCAATATGGTGGACAGCCAGAAATGTCTCACCACGAAACAGAGCCGTAAATATACACAAAATAATAATTCCAAGAGCAAATCACCAAACACAAAGGTAACACTGCTTGCTTATTACAACGGTAGTTCCACTCATTCCATTCCACTCGAGAGATTAATGTAAAGCATTAGCATTATTTTAATGCTTAGCTGACGCTGCCTCAAATTGAATTAAATGCTACCCCGAGATTGCGATTGCCATTACCTTTGGCTAATATTGTGTGAGTACGGAACCCCTGTGTGCCCCCCGTGGCCAAAAAAAGTCGGTCGTAACAAAAGAAGTGAGAAAGAAGACTCGAAAATGAAGAAGTGCAAAGAACTCTTCAACAAAAAAAAAACAAGAACACACACACACATGTGAAACTGGTTCTGGAGAATGAGCGAGTGTGTGTTAGAGAGAGAGGAAAGTGGAGTGGAGTGTGAGTGGCTCTCAGCTGGTGTTTGAAAATGTGCTAAATGTGCCTGCACAAAGGGATTCAAACAGTAGAGAGAGTGGCTGCGCAGGCAGCGGAGGGAACATAAGAGTGCCAGAGAGAGTGAGAGAGAAGGCCAAGGTACTTTAATTGAAAGGTGAGGCTAATGCACCGCATGCTTACCAATACCGGCTGCACTTGTGCACTGCCTTACCTTCGTTGTGAAATATTCCTTGTGCAAGGGTAAAATACACAACTCTGTGAAATGGCGGACAATTATGAATGCGTTTAAGCCGCTCTGCTCAAAATCCGAGGAGAGAGGTAGGCCCGTTGCCACTTTGGTCACGTACCAAATGATTGCAGCAGATCCCAGATACAACACCATTCCCATATACACTCGTACATGTGTAAATTACATTTAATTTGCATATAAATTTGGGTCAACTTTTCCGAGCTGAGTAAATATTAAATGTTGGTTTATTTTATTTCTTTTGCAGGAATATTGTCTCCTCCGGGTCCGTTTCTGACGCCCAGTCCATCGCCATCGATCTCAGCTAGCCCACGTCTGCAGCCATCGCCATCGCTATCGCCGTTCCCACAGGATGTGGTGCTCGTAGCCGGTGGCAGTCAAGTAAACGCCAACAGCAATCCCCAGGACCACGTAAATAGATAGATTAAGAATACAGGAATCAATCCATACTAATTCCTTGAATCTCTCCCGAAATAGGAGCGCAAGGCGGCGACGCCTGGCAGGCGACAGTCCATCCATCAGTTCGCAAATGGCAGCCCCAATGCTGGTACCGTTGTCTTCCAGCCGAGCCCCTCGCAGTCACCGGCGGCCGCTGCCACGACGGTCATTGGCGTGACGAGTGGTGGCCTCATCGCCGCCTCAGGTGTGGGAGTGGGAGCGGGAGCAGGAAATGCCATAGGAAACGAGCTTAATGCCACCCTCGTGGGCTCCAATAATATCCAGCTTAATAAGGTATGAATCGACTTGAAGTCCAACCCTTCTGAAGATCAATCTGACTGCTTTTCCATTTGTAGAAGGGCAATAAACGTCTCAGTCAGCATCAGCAGCAGCTGGGACACCAGATCTTTAGCAGCCAGGCCGTTGCGCCCACCTCCATCAGCAGCGTAGGGACAGTAGCCGGCGGCTATGGGCAACAACTCAATGCCACGGCCATCAGCATCAGCAGCACGCCCACTTCGTTTGCGACGGCAAACGTGGTCAGCAGCGGGTCCAAGAATCAGGCGAAGAAGACCGCCCAGACCACGGTGGTGAGCCATCAGCAGCAGCAGCATCAGCAGTTTCAGCACTATCAGAGCAGCAGTCCCCTGATAGCGGACAGCCCCATCCCGAGTCCGAGCAACGCCATCGCAGCGGCCTCCATAAAGCCACCAACGCCCCAGCCCCAGCAGCATCAGCAGTCCATGCAGATGCTGCCCCAGCAGTTTACCATCACTGGCGGCGCCCAGCAGCATCCGCACCAGCAGCAGGCCACACAGCAAGTGTTCCAGTTCATCCAGGGGCCGCAGGGTCAGCTGATAGCCACCACCACCACCACCCAGCAGCAGCAGCAACCGCAGCCGCAACAGCTGCAGCAACACCACCAGCAGCAGCACCAACAGCAGCACCAGCAGCAGCAGCGGTTTGTGAGCAGCAATGCAGGGATTGGGCTGTCCACAAAGTCGGGGAAGGCGCCCCAGCAGATACTGCCCAAGCCGCAACAAGAGCTACTGCAGCAGCAGCAGCATCAGGGCAAGGCCAAGGCCTCCAATGGAGGGCAGATCTCGCAATCGTCGCAGCAGCAGCAGCACCAGTCCACGAATCCCGGCCAGCAGCAACAGCAACAGCAGCAGATCCTTTTGCCTGCTGCTGGGAACCAGCATCAGCAGCTGCTCCTCAACCAGATGCCCGTCCTTGTGCAGCAGAATCCCCAGGGGGTGCAGCTCATCCTGCGCCCGCCCACGCCCCAGCTGACGGCCGCCCCTTCGCTGGTCATCCAGCAGAATGGACGCGGACAGCCGCAACTGTCGCAGCCGGCACAGCAACAGCTGCTGCGCATAGTCGGAACGAATGGCGCCACCATGCAGCTGGCTGCGGCGCCCACCTTCATCGTGTCCTCGCAGGCGAACCTCATCCAGCAGACGGCGACGGGTGGCCACTTCCAGAGCGCAATCAAGACGGGCACTCAGCTGTCGGGCTTGCATGCGGCTCTGGCCCAGGCGCAGGCACAGGCGCAGGCGCCACGATCTCAGCCGTTTGCCACGACGGCCACCCTGAACACACAGTTGCTGGGCCAGAGTGTGGCCCAACAGCTGCAGAACCTCCAGCTGGCGGCCGCCGCACAAATCCAGATGCCCAACGGCCTGACGGCCATCTCCCAGCTGCCCGCCCACCTGCAGCAGAGCCTCGGCGGGGCCACGATCAATCTGAATCAGCTGAACGGAGCGCACATCCAGCAGATAGCCACCGCCTTCCAGCAGCCCCAGCCACCGGCCTCCAATGGCCCCAGCAATGGCGGCAACAACACCGCTGGGCAGGGCGACATCTTTACCCAATCCTCGCCCGCCCACGTCCCGATGGCCGTCACGCCCGAGCCCATGCGGCAGGGCACACCCGTGCCGGTCATGCAGCATCAGCAGCAGGCGGCCATGGCCACCATTCAGCTGCAGCAGCAGCAACAACAGCAGCAGCAAGCCCAGATCCAGCAGCTGCAGCATCAGTTGCAGCAGACACAGTCGCAGGTGCAGCAGGCCCAGCAGCAGCACCAGCATGGCAACACCACTGGCAACGCCACAGTGGTTGTGGCAGCGACTCCAACTCCGACACCAACTCCGGCCGAGCCCAAGAAGAAGCCGCGGCCACGCAAGAAGAAGCCAACAGCGGCGGCAGCAGCGGCGGCGGCGGTGGCAGCAGCAGCAGCGGCGGCATCGGCAGCGGCAGATCCACCTCAGCAGAAGATGGCCATTGCTGCCACGCCCACACCGACAGCCTCCGCGTCACAGACAGTGCGCTGCAAGTCGCCTTCGCCACCGCCCACCCACATACAGAGGAGCAGCAACGGAAAACTGGACCTCGGGGATGTGATGAAGTTTTGCGGCATCACGGGAGACGACGATGATGACGAGGACTATGGCATGGGCATGGACACGGGCAGCGAACAGCAGCAGGAACAGCAGCAACAGCAGCAGCAGCAACAGCAGCAGCAGCAGCAGCCTGGCTCCAATGATATCATGATCTCTATACCGAACCAAAACGGCAGCGATGGCATGCCCTTTACGCTGACAATACCCGCGCCACAGCCACACGGACAATCGCTGCCGTCGAACGAAGCCACCGAAATACCAAATATCCTCATTAAGATTGATCCCAGCGATCCCTCAGCCGCTACAGCAGGAGCAGGAGCACTCTCCTCCAACACGCCGTACACACTGTCCACGCCACGTCTGCCAACGGCGGAGGAGATCCAGCGACAGGCACAACAGCATCTAGCGCAACAGGCAGCAGCTGCCGCTGCCGCAGCAAAGATAAGCATACCCCCAGCAGGAGCAGCAGCAGCCACACCAGTTGTAGCGGGAACGGGAACAGCGCCCACGATTAGCATAAGTCTGCCGCTGCAGCCAACGCCCGCACCGACACGCACGCCCACGCCCACACAAACGCCACAGCCCATAGCTGCAGCGCTTAGCTCCAATGGCTCGGCCACCGCAGCGGTGAAACCACGAAGGAAGCCCGCAGTGCGGCGGAACACCAAGAAGCTAGACGCCGCACCTGCCACCATTACCATGGGCAACAGCAGCAACCACTCGACGAGCAGCAGCACCACAACGATAAGCAGCAGCCTGAGTAGCAGCTGCAACAGCAGCATGTCCACCACTGTCAACACCATCACACTGACGACACCCACAACAACGACAAATGTGCCCGTGCCCGTGTCGTTGTCGCTGCCTCTGCCAGTCCACAGCAGCAGCAGCGGGAGCAGCGGCAGTACATCCACTTTGATGCTTTCCCATAGCCTCGGAGGCAGCACCACCACGACAGTGCCAAGTCAGATTGGGAACATACAGATCTCGCAGGTGCAGAACCATCAGCAGTCGGGGGTGCCCCTGAACACTGCCGTGGTGGAGAATAAGATACAGATTATGCCGATAATGCCACCAGGAGCCACAGTGATGGGAGGAACACCACAGCCACAGCCACAGCAGCAGCAGCATCAGCACAACCAACAGCAGCAGCAGCAACACTCAGCACAAGCCACCGGCAATCATCATCATCATGGAACGCAGTTGGTCTTTCAGGGATCTTCTTCGATGTCCGAATCACACACAGCCATCAAGATGTCCAACGATGGGCGGCAGATGCAGCTGGTGGCCATACCACAGGCCACACCTCCGGCCAACACAGGCAGTGCCGCCACATCGCAGACGACAACATCGACGCCCGTGATGACTGCCGGAGGAGCCACCATAATGGCGCCACAGCTGACGGGCGTATCACCAGCGTCGGCGGCGGCCGCTCTGGTGCCACAGCTGACGGGCAGCCTCACGCTGGCCGTTTCGGAGCAGTGCGAACGTCTGATACTGCGACACGATCCCAACAATCCGCAGGATCATCAGTCGCAGCTCATACTGCAGGCACTGCTCAAGGGTGCGCTGCCCAATGTGACGATCATCAATGAGCCAGCAAGGATGCCGATGGATGCGAACAAGCCGCAGCAGCAGCAACAGATGCAACAGCAGCAGCATCCACAGCAGCAGCAACATTTGATCAAAGTAACAGCAGCTGCAGCAGCACCCAAAATAGAGGTCAAAGGTAAGTGGCAAACAATGTCAAATATTGGAATTAGAAGTAATTCTCTTTTATTTATTGCAGTGGCCAACAATCGGAAGCACAACAACAGCATTATGAACACAAATACGACGACAACCACCATGAAACCACCACCGACATTGCCTCCACCGGCGGCAGCCACAAAGACAAACCACGAGGTGTTGTCCTTTCCCCAAATGCCGCTCAACAGTCAAGTGCTCATCCAGCAGCAGCCGCAACAGCCGCAACAGCCGCAGCAGCAGCAGCCCCAACCACAGCCCCAACAATCGCCTGTTCCGGCAGCAGCAGCTCCCCCAGCCGCCACCAACAATGGACAACAGCGATACATTGCTCTGCCACCAATCGATCCTTCCACGCAGCAACTGTTCTGCCTGAACAGCGTCACGAATCACATCACGGCCATGAGTGCCGGACAGACGGCAGCTTCGATTGGACCCACAGAGCGTCTGCTGATTGCACCCGCGGGCATCAATGCACAGCAACTGGCGCAGTGCCTCCAACTGGGGCAGCTGCACTTTAACGATGTCAATCCGATGCCAGCACAGCAGGCAGGAGCAGCAGGAGCAACGCTTCCCTTGAGGCCACAGCCGCCGCAGCAACAGATTGTTCATCCGATTCAACCGATCAGCAATGGATTGGCCGTCACAACGACTGCCAGCTGCACCCTGACCACCACCACCAGCAGCACTTCGACCACCACTACGGTGACCAAGCAAGTGGCAAATGTGGCGCCCATCATTGACCAGAGCAAGGCAAAGCTGGAGCCAGCCAAAACGGGCTCGGGATCGGGTCCGGCGACCAGCACGGGAGCCATCGTGAAGAAGAAGCCTGTGCGCAAGCCCAAGGCAACGCCCACCGCTGCGGAGCTGGCGATCCTCAAGAATGCGGGTGTCGTGAAGCCCATGCCGAAGCTAGATCCGTTGTCGCAGAAACCGAACAACAATCCGGTGCAGATTGTGCAGCCGAATGTGGCCAGCGGCAAGCAGATGATTGTCATCGGCAGCTCCGGAGGTGGACAGACCACAACGACAACAACTACTACAATGAGCACCAGCATACAGCCGTTTCAGACGACAAGTGGAACGAAGTTGGTGGGCATCACAGCGCCCATGCAGCAGCAGCAGCCAGCGGCAACGATTCTGCAGCAACAACAGCAGCAGCAGCGGACGACGGGCTTTAGTCTGGTGACGAGCACAGGAGTTGTCAATGCGGGATCGAGTGTTGTTGCTGCACCAGCGACAGTTTCGGTGGGAAATCAACTGCAGCTGCAACAGCAGCAGCAGCAACCCCAACCCCAACCCCAACAGCAGCAGCAACAACAGCAACAACAACCTCAGATCCAACAGCAGCAACAGCCAGCACAGGCACCGAAACAGCAACCGAACACCGTGTCCCGTGTGCAGACGATCCAACTGACCCCACAGATGCAGCAGGTCTTCAAGCAGGTACAGATGCAGATACAGTTCCTCACATTCAAGCTGCAGAACAAATCCTTTCTGCCGACGATTCATCTCACGCAGGAGATGGACACAGCCACGATTGCCGCCTACAATAAGCCAATGAGCGATGCGGAGATCAATCTGGCACTGCAGCGACTCTTTGCGGATCAGCATCGCATTCTGTCCTCCGGCAAGGAGGTGCCCACACCCGAAGTAATGCTCCCGACTGCCAATGGAAGCTTTAGTCTGATTCCACAGGCGGTGCAGCAGCAGCAACATCAGCAGCAGCAACATCAGCAGCAGCAACAACAGTTGCAGCAGCAGGCAGCCGCTGAGCCCCTGAAGACGGGGCCCTCCCTCACGATTCCGGCCAATGTGGTGCAACCGAATAACCATTCGTCCACCGCAACCACCACAACAGGAGCACCAGGAGGCGGATCAGTGGCAGCTGTGCAGCAGCAACAACAGCCACAACAGAATATAACCCAACGCATTCACATTTATCCGATGCAGCACCAACAGCAGCAGCAGCAGGCCAACAAGCAGAAGCAACAGCAGCAACACGCGCAAGCTCAGGCACAGCAAAAGGCAGCAGCTACGAACAGCAACATGCCGCAGCAAGTGGCACAACAGCAGGAGCAGCAGCAGCCTCCTCAATCCCTGCAGATGAAGCTCAAGGAGTCTCCCGTCATTCGCAACAAAGTGATTTCGAATGCGTCCACTCAGCAGCAGCAACAACAGCAGCAGCATCCACCGAATGGAGCCATCAATATGCTGCCACAGAAGAGCATCAACATGTTGCCACAGCAGCAGCAGCAGCCGACGCTTATAAAGAGTGGTCCGCCGCCGTTGATCTTTGCAAGTGCTACAAATTTGTTGGCCAGCAGCAGCAACAGCAGCAGCAATAACAACAGCAGCAACAACAGTAGCAGTAGCAACAGCAATAGCAACCAGAGTGGCAGCAACATGATACAACATGTGACAAAAATGCTGCCAATGCCACCGTTGCAGCCACAACAGCAGCTGCCACAGCAGCAGCAGCAACAGCCACTGCAGGTGCCTCAATTGCAGCCACAACAGCCGCTTCAACCACTACCACAGCTCCTCCAGCAGCCACAGCAGCCAGCACAACCAGCGGCTCCTCCAATTCCCGTCCTGCCACCAGCACCACAACCTGTGGCAGCAACTATTGTGCCACCAGTGGGTGTGGGTGTGGGCATGGGAGTGGCAGGAATTGGAAATCTGATGCCGACACTGCCGACACCCGTGCTGCCCAGCCTGCCCCTGTTTATGCCACCAAAACTGGATGAACTGCCGCCGCTGAAGCCGAAAATTGCACGCCTCTCCTTGTGAGTAGTTGGTTGAAACAATGCCGATTCTTAAGGGAAAAGCGGCCAACAAATGGATTTTGCACACCCCAAGCAATGACCGAGCCAGAATTAATCTCTTTCTTTTCCTCTCCTCACAGGTTCGTGCGCCAACTGGAGGTGGATCAGGAGAGCTGCCTGAAGCCGGACTATGTGAAGCCATTCCGCACCAAAGATGAGGCAGTCAAGCGATTGATTAGGTAGGATACACACCAACTTCCACAGAGAATCTCTCCTCAGACTTGTGCTAACATTTCTCTCCCTTCGTTTGTGTTTTTCCAGGTACCACTGCATGCACGAGAATGATATGGAGCTGCCTTCCGACGAGGAGGAGGAGTTTGAGGCCACTGCTCTGGGTTTCCAGGATAAGTTTCGTCAATTGAATGGAAAGTTCCAGGAGATCCTCATGCAGGAGTCAACTGTAAGGCGCACAAATCGGTGGGGAGTAAAGAACTTTTATTGATGAATTTCCTGTTCAACTTTTTTAGCTGCCACATCGCACCTCAGAGTTTCTGCAAATGCAACAGCTGATGATCGATGATCTCAAGGGGGAAATCAATGATATACGCACAGCGGAAAAGGAACTAGAGCAGCAGCTGAAGGATGAGCAGAACAGCGAGAGTTTGGCCACCTCACAGATAAAAGAGGAGATCAAACAGGAGCCACAAAACGAGTCAACTGCAGTGGTGGATACCTTTGATTTGCTCAAGAACAGCGCCGATGTGAACAAGGCATTCAGCAAGTCGCAGTCGCAATCGCAGTTGCAGTCCCATCCACAGACCACTGCAGCAGCAGGAGCAACTGTGAAGCAGGAGGCGTTGGATGAGGAGCAGCCCACAACCAATGGCGAGGTGAAGAGAGAGAACCAGAACAAGGATTCCACTAGCAGATTTATCAAAAAGGATTACGGACACTTTGATATTGAGTCGGAGCTGCAGACCAGCTTCATTCTGAAGAAGATCGAAGCCAAGTCAAGGACCAACCCGACGCCCTATGGGGAGCAGCAGCAGTCACAGACACAACAGCAGCAACAACATCAGTCGCTGCAGCAGCAGCAACATATCAAAGGCAATGGCGTGGACCACAATGTGGAGCAGGAGGATGGCTGGTATTGCCTGCAAAATGAACTCAATCTGATGAACAGCGATGGATTGCCGCAGCAGCAGCAGTCGCAGATGAATGGAGGACAGCAGCAGCATTGTCGCCAGCAGCAGCAGCAACATTTCCTGGACACCTCCAATGGCAGCGGAATGATGAACAACAGCAGCAATCAAATGGGTGATCTATTCCCGAATGGTTGCATCGACAAGAGCAATCAGAGCTCGACGAGCAGCAGCAACAGCAGCACCTGCGGCAGTGAAAATAATGCGCCCAGCATCAGCGTCGTTCCCAGCAAGCATAATTCGAGCATTGGCAACTCCTCGTGCAGCGGACAACGGCAGCAGCCAGCGGCCATGGATGCAGCGGAACAGAATCAGCATCCGGCCATCAGTGAGTTCTTCAGCAGCGATTCGGATGTGCAGAAGTCGGTGGAGACGCGCCTGGAGGCAATGTTCGGCGAGTCTCCGGTCCATTTGGACGTGAAGAACAGCAGCGATGATCACGACATTGAGTCGAATCTGGACGAGATCTTTGGCGATTCGAAATCCCCAGAGGTCAAAAGTAAACTGAACATGTGGGTGCCCGATGCCAGCTTCATGCAGCAGCCGCAGCCGCATCCACAGACCCAACAGCAGTATGCAGGACCACAGCAGCAGCAGCAACCAACACAGCAGCAACAGCATCACATTGAACTGAATTGCAACAATAATCCGAGGTGGATGCAGAGCATGGAGGCCCACTACAGTGACTTTATGTCCAGCACAAGCACCAGCAATGGCGATGGCCCCAGCACACAGAGTGGGTTGCTAGTAAACGGTGGAGAGTCGCGCAAGCGGCACTGGGACAGCCAGATGATGGGCTCCAGCAGCGAACTGGAGGATGACAACAGCAGCAAGCGACTGTGCACGGGCTCCTCTTCGTCCTCGTCGCCCATGTCCTCGCAGCAACAGCAGCAGCTGGTGGTGGCACCGCATGGCCTGCTCGATCCAGAGATGCTGCTGCATGATGGCATGGGCGTGGAGCCGGCCAACGGGCCCGCGGGATTCTCACAGATGCTGCACCAGCAGCAGCAGCCGCAGCAACAGCAGCAGCAGCAGGCACCACACAACTTTGCCAATCATCAGGCCTACGCCAGCATGATGAGCACTCAGCAGCAACAGCAACATTACCAGCACAACATGCAACAGCAACTGCAGCAGCAACAGCAGCAGCAGCATCCACAGCAGATGCACGTGAACCATTTGGGCGGACAGCCTGTGGTGACGGGAGAGTACGACGACGACATTAGCCGGCATGTGGCCAGTGCTATTGACAGCATACTGAACCTGCAGAACAGCGCCGACTCGCTGCAGTTCTCGCTGGGCTCGATCCTCGGAGACAGCATGCTGGAGGATCAGCGTCAGGGAGCACAGGCGAATCTGCCGAGCTGCCAGCAGGAGCAGCTGCAGCTGGCACACCAGCGTCGCCGACAGTTGGGCGAGGAGATGAATGACTGCCTGATCAGCGGCGGCGGATCTGCGTCCAATGCCGTGGCGGATAACAGCAGCAACATCCTGCTGGAGCACCACCATCAGCACCAGCTGCAGATGCAGAGCCACACCGTTGGACAGGCGCCGCACCTGCAGCACCAGCACCATCAGAACATCGGACAGGCACCCTCCCAGCACTTGGTGGGGCAGCTGAATGACTTTAGCTGTGTGGCCGCCGGCCTCGACGATCCCGTCAAGTCGATAATGACCTCTTGACTTGGACTCACATCCACCGCCAGCGGAGGAGCAGTAGGAGTAGGAGCAGCTGCCACAACATCGGCAGCGGAGCTGGCCAACAGCCTGATTCTAGAGTTCAATGCCACCACCTTGTGAGCGTGGGCTGACAGCGACTTAATGATTGTATAGAAAAACCCATCCCAAAATACCCCCCAACCCCCCTCCAATTTTTACATCAAATTTTTAATTTGTTTTCGGGTTTTATCCGATTTTTATTTTAGAGCCTAAGTTTTAAAAATTGTAGCCTAAATTATTTATACTTATTCTGTTTGTATTGTTTAGTCCAATATTTTGTACAAATTCTGAACCATTTGCTGATTTATTGGTTACTTAAAGAAACGATAGAATGAAGAAGGAAGGAATAGATGGGAGGAATGGAGTCCCCCTCCCATATACAAGGCCAAGAGAAAAAGATAGAAAAGAGAAGCAAAGACAGCAATTGACGCGGTGAATTGAAATGCAAACTAAACGACGAATAGCATCCAATGCTCTCACGGAACAACAACCCTAATATAAAAAATTATATAGTTACACTAGACAATTTATATTCAAAATAAAACCAAGAGAAATGGGAGAGGCGAAAGGATACGTAAAGGATACACGCAAAAAAAAGAAAAGAAACGAAAAGAGAAACTGAATTGGTTGTACATTTAATTCCGTAATTAAGTTAAACGTGAAACAATTCTGTGGAATCGAAAATAAAGTCGCCAATGCAGTGTGTTCATATATCAGAGACAGAGACAGAGACAGAGGAGCAATCAATCAGAATCAATCAACCACTCCAGATAAATACCTTCCCTTGCATTACGAGTATTAATAAAGAGATTGTGTATATAGTTTCAGCAGTTTCAGGAATATATGTTTATAGGAATTTTAACAGGAGAATGCAGGATACGTAAAGCGCTTTCCATATGACTGCTTCTGATAATACCACTTAAAAACAAACAAAACCTATGGACAGTGTGTGCTCAAGTTGAATGAAATGAAAAGTAAAAGGAAGATGAAGTAAGAGTAGAAGAGCAGGAGTATAAATTTCGGCAATGGAAAGATCTTAGGGACACAGAAGATCTGGCAAACTACGAAGCAAACCAAAAGCAGTTCAAAAATCACAATTTTAGCCAATTTAGTTTAAACATTTATAAATTATTGAATCTATAATGTAATAATACTATCTTTCTACACCTCAATGGAACGATGATGGATCGATGATCGATTAGACGAGCGTATAGAGAGAGGAGAGGAACAAACAAAATGGAAATTTAACGAATCGTATCAATTGTATCTTGATCTTGCGACAAATCTGAATTGTGATTTGTGCCACGTTTTAAATATAGATGTCTGATTAGCTTGTAAAACTTTAATAATAATAACAATTAAAAGTCTTAAACACAGTAAGCAACTACGAAGTTTATCCAAAAAAAAAAAAAAAAACAAAAAACAAAAACGAATCAATGAAAGAGCAAAGCAATTGTAAATGTTTCAAAGCAATTACAATACTAACTACTACTTTAATACCACCACTAAAAACAAAACAAAAACCTACTACGATACGTACTTCCAGACGGACAGAATTGAAGGGAAGGGAAGGAATGAAATGGAACGGAATGCTTGTATTACGTATAGTCAGTAAGGGAACTACTTTCAAGAGGTATCATTAATCTAAGGTGTGCTTCAATATTCGGGCCTCCATGACCCAACCCCACTTCCCCTGATCCACATCCCTTATATCCATCCCATGTCCCTTATGTTTTGCTTCAACTGGAACTTCCACCACTTTCTAGTTATTATTCAAAGACAAATAACTTTCGTGTAAAAAATGTACATGTAATAGAATAATTTAAGTTTGGAAAAAAACCTCAAAAAACTGAATAAATTTAAATCTATTGCTAGATTATTAATGCGAATTGTTTTAAGTTGTATTTAGAACAAGATGAAGAAACTCAGATTACCCACCCCCCGACACCCGCCACCCGCCACCCAGACTCCCCTTTCACCGTCAGCATAAGAATTGTTCAGCTAAAAAATGTGTCTAAATGTAATTTAAAAAACATAAAGAGAAAAACTAAAGATTTTTAAAGAAACAAACTAAACAAACAGCATCATCATCGGCATGGGAAGAGAGAACAAAAAAACAAAAAAAGTGAAACAAGAAAGTAAAAAACAGTTTAATATTTCATAGTTTATTAAGCCCATCCATTCATAGTCGTCATAAACATTTAAGTACATAAACAAACTAAACTAATATATCCCCAGTACTCTTTGAGTATCGCGGGTATAACGAAAGTGGAAACAAAATACAACATAAAACTTCACTGAAAACGAAACGAAACGCAACAAGTAACAGAGAAGAAAAATAAAAACCCAGCTAAATAAATGAATGAAAAGTGAAAGGGAAATGCAATCAAAGTTCATGCATTTCATGCACGTTTGTACTGGGTGACAACGTTCTTAGGAAAATAAAGAAAATTCCATACAATTTTAAAAACTAATTTGCATTTTATTATAGGTATGCATATTGGCTTTGTTTTTGCTGCGTTCTATTCTGGGCATTTTGGATTCGAGTTGCTGTGAGATTCAAAATCCTTACATTACATACAGATACTTTCTTCCTGCATATTTTAAACACAAATATCGACTTTGTGCCGTACTACTAATCTAGATACATATTCGACTACAGGGGGTGAGGGAATATTACAAAAGTAAGACCTGCCGATTGATTCGATTCGTGGTGCTACAACTAATGAGAGTGCTCCCTGGGCATGGAGTCGTATCAAATTATCGTAGTGTGGGGGGTGGTAAGTGCTTATACGAGAGAAATAAATTATTACGAAATAACAGTTATCAGTACAAATAATATAATACAGAATCAACTGTAGACTGCTCTGATATTGATGTTGGTATTTTATGTACTTGTATTCGATTTTATCTATCCTGCAGCCAGACCACGGTCCTATGGCTGTCCACCCATTTCATTGCATTGCATATCTTAGCATAGTATTTGGCATTTGCGCTAAAGTACGAGTTAAAAACGATACGATTGTTGCAGCTTAAATGCGGCCATCGGTTGGGATGCTGCACAGCTGCTTCGGATTGCGCAAACTTCTAGTAGTCTTGTGCTTTGATGCTACTTATGTCTTAGGCGGATAGACTGGCAGTGGATGGCCCTCCGAGTTGAAGACCCATTGGTCCAGATCGATCTCCTTGCGGTTGTCACTGAACAGCAGATAGAAGTACTTCAATGTCTCGCTCAGCCAGAAGCTCTCCATCAGATCCCGCAGGCGCGTATTCTGCGCATTCCTAACATTCCCTAGAGACGTATAGCCCGCATTCACTTTGGCGTGCGTCTCGAACGCCTGGAAGATCGTCCAGCCCATGTCCTGATATGTGCGATTGCCGGTGATCGCATAGAAGTAATACAGACTCTCGATGAACTCGGGCCTCAGCAGATTGTGCGCATCGTTTGGCTTCACGTAAATGTCGTGCTCCTCCTTGTCCGTCAGTGCAAAGTACGAGATCTCGGGCGCCAAATGGGTGGGGTGCTGCATGTACGTCTGATAGCAGGTGTCCAGCAAATCTCTGGCCAGTATCAGGTGAGAGTCGGGCATGCCGTTCTGATGCCCCAGTATCAACGTGCCCGGCAAATAACACGTCAGATGATCCATTTTGGGCTTGAAATCCTTGCCATTAATAAGCTCGCCAATGTACACCCAATGCTCACGCGGTGTGCGGCGCATCAGCTTGGTCAGCACTCCATCAATGGCCTGCATATAATCCAGAATGAGACTGCAACGAATCGGTAGGTCAGAGACTGTTTAATCTTTACATTTCTCCACCAACTCACTTGTCGTTATCATTGCGGCCCGTCTGAATCCACTGCTTGAGCAGATACTCGTAGTAGGAGTCGCCACGCGCACCCAGCGAAATGGTGGCATAGTTGCGGAAGGTGCCCGTGTTGGCATTAATGAAGATGGGCACCAGTCCATCGGTCTTGTCCAGCTCATGTACCTTCTCGTTTACCTTGTTAACGACCTGAAATATGCATGCAACCGGATTAGCACTTTTTCTTGAATAAACAAGATGCTTGGACTTACGTTCTCGTAAATGGAAATATTTGTCGACCTACTCAGGTCACGAAACTCCAATTGGATGGTGGTTATCTCGCTGGTGGAGCTGTCCGGCGACCATTTGGGTGAGTGCGCAGACAAATCGCCGAGATTCACATCCGAATAGGGAATGCCCGAGGGCGAGAGGAAGGCCGGCAACAGGCGATTGCCCAATTCCGCCGCCTTGGTGAGGAACATAGTGTCACCGCTCAAGTGGTAAGCAGAGAGCAGCCCGCCCAAGACACGTATTGTCACCTCAAAGAGATTCACATCGCGCTTCGTGGCAAAGTGCAGGGAAAGATCCACCCAATCACGTGCCTCCTTGAACTCTGTGGAAAAAATTATATTAGAACTCAAGAGATATCCTTCTGAGCAGACGACACTCACCCTCATCGAGCCCCATTATGTACATGGTGTCCAGAGCATCTACAATGGTCAGGCCCAGGCCGAACCATTCGTGTGAGAACTGCGAAACGGGCTTCAGGTTGTCATGGCCCCAGGCGTACTTCTGGTATCCGGCCCAGGAGTGCTTGAAGGCAGCCACCACCGCCGATTGTCGCTCATTTGTGGCACCGTGGAAGTGTTGACCCTTGGCCAAGAGCGGTTGAATCTTCTTCAAATGTCGCTTAATGCTGATGCCGCCGAGGTGCAAGGGATTCCGTATAGCTTCGTTCAGCTGCTCGCGTTCGTCCAGCTGCTCAATGGGCAAACGCTCGATGGGCTCCTCCACATTGTTCAGTATGTCTATGCCGTCCTCGTTGTCCGCCTTCTTGTCCTGCAGCACAGGCAGTGCGACAGCGGCTGTATCTGTCACACGAACTACATTCTCAGCTGAGTTCACTTCCCCATAGGCCACATTTCCGCCGTCAAACTGAAAGCCCCGACAATCGTTATCATTATTAAATCTCGGATTCCTTGAAATCATAAATCAGAACCCAATAACCACTTTAACTCATTAAAGATATGGGTGTGGGGCTGTTATCATAATTAGTGCCGCCGCTCCCCCAATTAAGTACTTATCAGTAGACAATTACCTTATCATCAGCGGGCTCTTGGTTGGGCAGTGCGGCAGCCGGAGTGACAACAGCGGCAGCCGTTAGATCCTCCTCCTTGTCAGGATGGTGGTGGGGATTCGCCAGTGGGAGCTCGCGGCGCATGTGGTAGGGAGACGCTATGGCCTTCTCCTCGACATCCTTGATGCTCGCCGCAATCAGTTGATCGCCGGTTAAGCAGAGCAAGACGGTCACGCAGAAGGCCGTTACGCCGAGTATAATGAGGTTGCGTTGACAACGCGGCAGCTGATTCCAAGCCTAGACCATGCAGATGTGCAAATATGAATATTCATTCATTGTTTGTTTGGGGCCAGTCATTTCGCCTCTTACCCGCCGCAGACTCTTCCGTCCCCGCTCATCTGTGCTGGCCACCGCTCCCGAGGGTAGCGTGAGTGCGATGTGTCCGGAATCTTTCATGTCCGCCCGTATTCTGACTTCGACTCTGCTCCGACTGGGTTCACTTTGATTGGAAAAGTCTGGTCAAATTCCGCAGCATTCGCCTCCGAATAAAAATCGATGCCAGAGCGACTGCCGCTAGCAGTGCGGGAGGAGGGGATGGTTTGTGCTAACTAACCAATGGGCTGGTCGTGCTCCTTGGCCTGTTCACATCGGATTCGTTTATAAACCAGCACGTGAATACGGTATATCCATATTTTCGAACAACCCGAAATTTTAAGATAAAATTAGCTTCACTGACTTTTGTATCGTTATCGATATACCATAAATCTTGAGTGAGTGATCGAACTTAACCCACTACACCCCTGTGAATTGACAACTTGATTTGAGATGCGTAGAATAAACTGTCTTGTACATTTCCCATTCAATTCTAAGAAATCTTTCACGGTAGCGGCATGAAAATTGTTCAAGCTTTGCCATTTTTGTGGGATAATATAAATACCCACTGGTCGACAATGGGCTAATCGTTCTTTGTCTATCAACTCAAATCATATTTCTCGATTTTGATATTCGGTTTAATAAAACAAGATGTCTTTGAATCTTAGCACTGAACACATAATATTAGTTAGTTGATCATTCAATTCTCTACAATACTAGCTAATATTAAGGACTCTATTTGTTTATAATTTAAAGTTGAAACCCAAAATGTCAAGGCCTAAAATTAATTGTGAACGGAAAGAAAAATCACCTCAAAACAGGACAAGTCCCAGGGCTGCTGCGTTACGATACGAAAATTCAAAATGCGTAAACTCTTTAATGACATTTATTCGACGAATGGCGGCATGGCATTGTTTTATATAATTGGATTACAAAATTCAATGTACAACGTCAGTGTGTTGCCTTGGCAGATAGGAATGCTTCTTCGCACAGGCAAATTGTGTTCAACTGCACCGTTGAAATTAAATACAAATTACAAATTGCAATAGGGTTCAGATATCTATAGATATACTCGTATATAAATTTGCATCATTTTGCTGCATAGCAGGCATTGCACACTCGCACCGGCTTGCCCGGTTGCCCCTGGGCATTGAGCAGTGGCAGCGAGTGCTCGGAGCAGGCCTTGCAGAAGATCTCCCCACAGCTGCGGCAGTGGTGCTTGCGCCGCGTCAGATTAAACTCCCGCTCGCAGCCTGTGCAGTGGGAGGCAATCGAGTCGGGCGCCCAGATGCCGGGACTGCCGAGGCTCTCCGGCATGGTCTGCAGTGACTGCGAGGATCCGGACATCAGCTGGCGCTGCCGCCTCTCGCTGTCCTGCATCTCCGACACCTTCAGCTTGCTCTCACTCAATTGGATGCCGAGCTCCTCCAGTGTGGTCTGCGCCTCGGCCCATTGGGCCCGCGCTTTCTCCAGGTCCAACTTTAGCTTCTCATTCCTGTCCTTCTCCTCGGCCAGCTCCTTGAGGCAGCTCTGAAGTGTGGCTATCTTCTCCTTCAGCTTGATCTCCTTCTCCTGCAACGAAATGCGCCACTCGCGCTCGATGCGCGACTCGGCCTCAGCGCGGGCAGCCCGCTCCTCGCTGGCCGTCACCTGGGTGGTCAGCGTTTGTGACGTGCTCTTCAGTATCTCGCCCAAGCTGCTCTTGTCATGGGTCCACCTGTGGAAAGGAAAAGCAAACAACGATGATATCGATTAAGGGATCCAGAATATCGCCACATCCGACCCTAATGAGATCTTACTTCTTCTCCAGCTGCTCAATCGTGCTGGCCATGTCCTCCTTTTGGCTCTCCAGCTTCTCCATAAGCTCCGTTTTATGCGTAAGCGAGGCCGTGCAGTCCTGCAGAACCGAGAGGTAAGGATTGGAATGGAAAGAGAAAAGAAGCGTTTGTACCATCGTTGGACCATCTCAGAGGAGCAGAAATGTTGGTGGCAAAATGAAAGACTGACTGACTGTCGGTTAAGGTTTATTTCTTTGGGTTTCTCTTTGGGTTTTAGTAGAAGTAGAAGTACATTAGTGGAGTGTGGAGTATATTTTTTGCAGTACTACACGCACATGCAGGTTACTTTCAAGGCGTACGATTATACAGTTACATTTAGTTATAATTACAATACTTGTTGTGTGTACGAGTATTCGTCTATTCTTCGACTAGTATTAGGATTAGGATTACATATGGTACAGTATTACAGTTTAAGCGATAATAGCAGCGGTTGGAGAAGGGCATATAACCATATTCATACACTCGAAGAAAAAAAGTAGTTGAGTTTTTACATTTAAACTTAGATATTAAAAGTTATGCCAATATATTTGATCTGAAGAATGGAAATTATAAGATTAAAGTATGAAAATCTTTAAGATAAATACATTTCATATTTAAATTAGATATTTCGTTAAATAATTTCAAGTTTTTCCAATTTATATATATTATCTATTCTGTTTTTATTACATTTATGTTTGAATCGAAATTTATTATATTTATCTTCTCCGTTTCTTTATTTTAAAATCAATTATTACATTTCTTAATGTGTTTATTTTGTTTATTTCTTAGCATTATGCTCTTTTTCTCCGAGTGTATGTCTAGCCACACAGTTATCATCTGTATGTGAATCTGTAGCCTCTTTTACATATATACATTCATACGTTTTTCTGCTCTTCATACATCATTAATGACCACTTTTAAGGGCTTCCTTTTGGGACTCAGGGAATTAAGCTATCAGGTTGCATATTATTAGTCAAACCTTTAACAAAGTCTACACATACATAGATACTCCTAGGTATTCCTCTGTGTCTAGGCATCCTATACACTAACATGGGGGAGGGTAAGCTTTTAATTCTGCTTAATAACGACCCGTACATGGACATGAACTTTGAGTGCATGCCAAGGCCTTGGATACATAAATATTATATTTATATGGGAGAGTACAGGATTAAGGAGGCAACATCATTGCAGTATAATGGGTTTCTGTTCTTCTTTAACTACAATTATTACGTGCCTAGGAGTCGCCCGCGGCTGTGGCTTCTATAATCCCAGACAATGCGTAGTCGCTGCGTGATCCATCGCCGCCAAAGTGTTGGGTTATGTCTGCTGCTGCCTCGGCCAGCTCATCGTTGAGCGACTTGGCGGATGTGGGCGTCTTTGGCTGCTTCCTTTCGGCTTCCTGCGGCTCCTGGTGCAGAGGTTCTGTTGCGGCAGCAGCCACAGCAGCCGCACTCGATGGGGACTTGCGATACTTGTTAGGGTCGAACGGCGGAAAGGCATCCATCTTGAGGTGCATCCGCTTCATGGGCGGACCGGCGTCATGTTTGTGCTTCTTGGTGAGGGCCTCGAACTTCTCCAGATTCTGCTGACGTCTGGTGGTGGGCGAACGCTCAACGCCGCTGCCACCGCCTCCGAATGCTCCACCGAACGCTCCTCCGCCTCCGTGCTGATCGTTCAGCTTCGACTCGTACTTCTTTTCTAGCGATTGTAAAATGTTACCAATTTGTGAGGCTTTCGTTTGCAAGCGCGAGACCATCTCGCCCTTCTGTGTGAGTTCATCTTCACATTCCTGGTTAAATGGTGGCAAAACGAAGGAGGAGTACATTTGATTTTTGATTTCTTTGCTCAAAATTGATAAGCTTCAACCGATTAGATTGCAGGGATAATGTCTGATCATAAACTCAAAACCAAAGAGAACCAAATAGAAACAAAACCAAAACTCTAGCGACCACTTGATGGGAGGATGACTGTGAAAAGATGAGATGTGTGTGTCTCTGAGTGAGTGTAGATACTCACCTGTAGCTTGCGATACATCTCCAGGTTGATCTGCTTAATGTCATCCAGCTGGCGTCGCAGCGAGACTATCGTGTCCTGCTTCTCGTGTATGTCCTTCTCCAGCAGCTTCATGGCCATGTCCGACTCTGCCTTGAGCGACACCTGCAGCTTCAGCTCCTTTTCCAACTCTCCATTCTTGCGCCGCTCCTCGGACAGATCTGAGCTCACAGCTTCGCTCTTTTCCTTATCGGACCCACTGCCAGAGGTGTTGTCCGAGTCCTTCTGCTGTTGTTGCTGTTGCTGTGTTTGGCTGGACTGCCGCATGGCCTGGTTCTCAGCCTGAAGGGCCAACAAACTGTTGCGTGCAATGGCCAGATCCTCCTTCATCAGGGCATTGGTGGTGGTCAGCGATTCCACCTTGGCCTGCAAATTGCCAACGGTGGCACTGAAAGAGGCGTTAAGAGGTTTAGTCTGCACTCCGGACTGCTGCTGCTGCTGGTAACCCACTTTAGATGACGATTCAGCTCCTCGATGTAGTTCTTCTGGTCGAGAACGGCTATCATGTTGCCCTGCCCGGTGGCATCCAGCAGCGCAGGCGGTGGGGCACTGTCGTCGGCGGCATCGGGACTGCGCGAACTGGAGCGTAGATAGAGCGAGAAATCGATAACGCCCTGCTGCGAGTCCAGATCCTCCTCCTTCACGCACAGATTGCAGTCGATCACATTCAGTCCCACCAGAATTCCCATTATCACAACGATCTGAGAGGGGGAGATACGGTTATCCTGGAGCTAACAGGAGGGAAACTACGCTGCGGACTTCACCTCGTCGCTCATCATTAGGGCATGCGGCTCGTAGTAGTCGTAGAGCGAGTCCTCGCGGTGCTCAATCAGCGCCTGAAGGTAGTCCGACAGCTTCTTCTGCATAAGGGCAATCCTTAGCCAGGCCCGCGCTCGTCCGATGTGCGTCCGAACGGTGGGCAAATCCCGCACACTGGCCGTTATATCCTGCGCCTCGGGGCAGTAGTGCTCGACGCTCTGCAGCAGATCCCACAGCTCCTTTCGTGGTCCAAGCAGCCCCTTCTTGGGTCGCAGTCCGTGGCCCAGCACGTGCTCGATTACGATGAAGAAATGCTGCAGCGGCAGATGGTCCGAGTCCAGCATTCGCCCGTAACGCAGCGACTGCTCCAGCAGCTCCTTGACCACCAGCTTGCAAATGTTCACCAAATTACTCCGCTCGATCTCAGCGGTGTCGCGTGCTGCAAGAAGAGGGTAGCCACAGTGGATTCTGAGTCGCGTTTTCTGTGCTGACAGTGGGGTAGCAACGACTACGGGGGATTACTGATTAAGGATTGATTGGCAGCTTGTAGTAGGCGTTTCGAACGAGTTTTTTGTGTCAAAAATATGACAACTGAAATGACTGGAAATAGTAATGAACATTCATGTGCTGCTTTCGTTGCTGTTCTTTCTGACACCGGGGGGCTGTCCCATGTACACCATCGACGTGTCCACGCTGGAGGTGCCCAATGACTTTCAGAACGAACTCACCCTCCAGTCGATGCTCAGCTCGGAGCTGAATCAAGCCCGCAACGACCTCAACACCAACCATGAGATGCCGCAGATGCAGAGATCCGTGCCGGATGCGCCGCCCGACAGCCACAAGGCCACAACATCACCACCTGGATCGTTGCTCCTCCCAAAGGTATCCCGCAGTCCGGACAACAAGGAAGAGCTGTTCCTGGGCACCAATCTCTTTGGCAGCAGCACGCGGAAGTGCTTCTCCGCGGAGGACATTGCACTGATAGCCGCCCGCAGGGACTTTGAGACGCTGCTGCCCAAGTCATTCCCCAACAGCCTACTCTGCGACAGCGTCGTCCAGATGCTAATGAAGTACTTCTACACGGTGAACCGTACTGTCAAGGACATGGCCAAGGACGAGGCGAAACTGGTGCTGCAGCGAGCCTTCTACGATGCGTTGGGCGGATATCTGCGCTACTACCTGGCACCCGTGGCTCAAGTTTCCTTCTATGCCGGTCGCCTCAAGCTGTGCACCGTGGAGCGGCTGGTGGCACTCTACCAGCAGTGCCGGATCGTGCTCAATACGAATGGAAATGGCTGGCGGACGCCCGTGGGGGATATAATCAGTCAGCTGAAGAGCGTGCGGATCAGTCCGGTTAAACTGCCTGCCAGAAAGCAGGGCGAGGACGATGCCTCCAGTTGTGCGCTGCTGGAACAGATAACTGGCTGCAAGGAGGCGCCCAACAATCAGATGATTGTCCCGCTGCCACGCCTGGAGCCCGTCGATGGGCAGGGATACCTCACAAACATCTACCTGCCGCTGAAGCAGCGGCGCATCTACAACCTGCGCTCGCCCCACTCCGCCTTCGTGCTGGTGAAGTTCTTCCAGACGGTGACCCAGTGCTACCGCTTCCAGGGCATGTGCCAGAAGGCGTACAACAGGAAGCTGCGCAACTGGATACGCGAGAGCGTGCAGCTGCACTACAACGACGAGGTCTTCTATCCCGGTCTGGGCGGCATTCTGCAGGTCTACGAGTTGCTTCAGAACGAGTACAAGGGCAAGGCGAGGCAGCCAGAGGGCGAGTGCCAGGAGGAGCAGTGCTTCATGGACTATCAGGAGACGACGGACGATGTCACAGACACTGGGAGCGTGGCAGCAGCAGCAGGAGGCGGACAAGGGCGCAAGCAGAGTCGCTCACCAAACGCCCAAAGGGAGTGGGAGACCCACTCGAAGCAGGACGTGGAAGAGTGCCGGGAGTGCGATGATGATGCCTCATCCGCATATGTGGCGTGTGTGGCGCTGTTTCTGGCCTTGCTACTGCTGCTCCTTCTGCTGATAATCTACTGCTGCATGCGGAAGGGTCGCAAGCCGAACGGGCCCCAGAAGATACCCCGCAAAAGGGATCTTGAGATGTCGCCGCCCACGAAAACAAAGGCGTCGCCGCCCATAAAAGCAAAGATAGCCACCGACGCGACGCCCGCCATGCCCAGGAGAATGGCCTTCCGGGGATCTTACTACTCGTCTCCCATTGAGATCAGCCACTCCGAAAAGGCACCACAAAGCCAAGGCAATGGTAAGTCAGGAAGGGACCCATAGATCCGTAGAAGATTCTATTCTTTCCTTTTCTTTGCAGACTTTCGAAGGTTCCTCGATGACTCACACACCTCCACCTCATCGCTGGCCTGTCAGTTCAACCGAAAGTGCATGCCCTTGAAGTTCCCGCGCAGCTCTCCGGAAGAAAAGTACTACACCCGGAAAAGGCGACCGTCCAAGATCAAGCTCGCTCAGCCATTCCATCCCCTGCCCACTAATGACATTGAGGACGAAGCCTCCCTCAGTCCCTCGCCACGAAATATACCGCTCGCTCCTTCAGATAGAGGGGTGGCAGTTGATCCTGGAAGATCCAGAATGCCCACACTGGACTCGTATCGCTCTACTACGGAAGTGACTACAGGAACGGAGCTTGCCATGGCCAGGGACAGGCTCACTGAGCAGGAGAAGCAAAAGATACACAGGCGTTGTGAGGAGGAGCTCAAAGAGATCAAACGGTGTGAGGCACTCAGGGAGATCAAAAGGTATGGGAAGGAAGACCCAAAGGAACTGAAAACTGCAGAGGCCAAGAAAAAGTCAAAGGACCCACCACCAGAGAAGCCCAACAGAAAAGACAAACATTTGGGTGAGATTTCCATTACAGATGCAGCACTAATTCCCATTCAATTCTTCCTACCAATAATTCCCTACAGAGAAGGACACGGTGCAGGATGAGCCACGAAAGTCACGCAAGAAATCGGATCCAAAAGCAGAGACCAAAAGCTCAGAACCCGAACAGAAAAGGCTAACAGGTGGAGGCTGTGCGGTGAGTGATGTAAGCGAGTTGTCAGACTTATCGAATTAATTGAAACATACACAGTCGCCGAAGGACTCGCCAGGTTGGGAGACGACGATTGAGGACTCCAGCTAAATAGAAGAAGCTTTTCAGTAATGTTTCAGTTTTTTTTTCGAGTTTTGTTCCTAGTTTACTAATTAAATTGTGTTGAGTTATTTATCGGTTGCATAAAGCGTAGGAAATTACCCATAAGCGAACGGACACACACAAAAGAGAATGAAATGGGAGTTTTTCAACACTGTTATCAACTGTACACGAATCTGATATTAATTCAGGGCTCACCAAAAGGCCATCAAAAGGTAGAAAAGGATATTCCTTTCAGTCCATCTGTTCGTTTGTCTTAATCGCCAGTCTCCTCCTTCAATAATACCCCATAGAACAAATCTATGTGCCAGCAAGGGAAGGAAAGTGCAACGTAAATGTAGAGTAACATGCCAAATAAAGTTATCAATCAGAAACAGAATCAGAATAGATCTGACAACAAAAGAGCAGAACAAACTACAAAGGATAAGGGTTAATATAAATATAAACTGGCAAACAGAAGATGCAACTGAGGAGGCAACAGAAAGAAGCAACCTACAGAGATGCGACCACTCTGCGAAGAGGCCCACATTCTTGTGCTGCGACTGCGTCTGGGAGTGCGACTGGGAGGCATTGAGTGCATTGGAGCCGCCGACCATGTCGCACAGACGACGACCGATTAGATTTTCAAGTGCCATAATACCGTTATCCTCGAGAGCCCCGGCGGCACTTCCGGCCGCTGACAATCCGGAGAAGCGGTTGCTGTTCCGCTTTCCAAACTGGGAGCCACCGCCACTGCCACTGGCATGTGTCCCAGCGGCACCGTAGCCGGAGCTAGAGTTTCCAGTGTGTGGGTCGTTGACGCCGACGCCTGCACCTGACTGCTGGCCGCCGGCCACATCGATGTCCTGCAGCTCCTTGAGGCACAGCCACTCGCCGTCCACGGATACCCGAAAGTTGCACAGGTAAATGGTGTCCTGCACGCCGTTGGCCAGCTCCTCGTTGGTGTGGTTGGCATGCGAGGCCTTCGGCAAAGCGATTGTGGTGCTGCCGCTGTTGTTGCTCGCCTGAAGTTGTGTTGGTTGTGGCTGTGCCTGTGCCTGCGGTTGTTGCTGCTGCTGCAGCTGTGGTGGTGCCTCTTTCTGTGGCGCTTTCGACGAGGACGACTGTGGCTGGGGCATTTGTTGGGGTGGATTCTGACCCTTTTGTGTTTTTGCAATGGGGTGTGTGGCCTGTGTTGCCGCCCTCGTTGCGGCAGTTGCTCCCCCCGATGACGACTTGGCGGACTTGCCAACTTCTTGTTGTTTTTGCTGCACACTCGATGGCGTTTTCTTGGCTGCTCCTCCACCTCCTCCCAATCCCACCGATGACGTTGCAGTTGGCGTTTTAACGACACTCCTCAAGGGCTTGGCGGATGTGCTGCTAGAACTCGACACGGCTGCAGTCGAGGATGTCTTGAGGCGACTGGTCCCACTGGTGGACACATTGTTGTTGTTGTTTTGCGACAATTTTGTCCTTTTCGTATCCTCGACGAGTCCACGCATTTTGTACTTTTTTTTTATTCAGGCTTCGATTTACTGCCTGCTGCCCGAGTTTGTACGTGTGTGAGTGTAGCCATAAAAATACATATACAAATCGATATTAGGAGAGTTGCAACATCTCAAAGCTGCCACAGACATTCCTCCCCCACAGCGCCAGACTGCTGGAGGAAAGGATATGTTTCTAATAATTGTTACCTTTTATTTGATGTGTGTTTGCTGTGGAACACCACCACTGATCGAATGGTTTTTGTTTTCTTAATTCAAACTCTGAACAATTGAAATTTTACACCGCCACTCAAGCTATACCGTTATGTTATCCCGTGTGTAAGCGTAATATACCGTCTGACCATCAGGTATATACCGAAATATTGCTTTCCATATACCAGGGAGCTTTTTCGTTGAGGGCTCTCCTGCTTCTGCATGAGCAGTAATTTTAGGATTTGATTCCTCGCACAGTTACACTTTTTAAATTATATATTATTCACTCACTTTTATGGATATTCATACGGCATACAAATGCAATACATTTTAAATTCCCGTAATATATAATTTGTTTGAAACTTACCACGCTGTGCCCTTTTCGAGATTATTTTGGATGGCGATGGAGAGGCTGTCCCTTCTGGAGTAGCAGGAACAGGGGCTGTTGGTGTAGTTAGTGTTGTAGGCGCCTCTGAACTCGAATAGGGAGTGGTGCCATCAATCACTTCAGAGGCAGCCGCCGCAGCCGCAGCGTTCGTAAACTGCGTAGAGATGTGGCTGAAGATCTGCGAGGATATACTCTCTGTTCGTCGAAACGTGTTGCGCAGACGATCAAACGAGGAGCTGGGCGCAGGCGCTGCCGCGGCTCCCGTTAGGGGCGGAGGCGGCGTTGTTGACGACGCACTTGGCGAGGGGGAGTCGTCGCTTCTATCATGGCGAGCCACCAGCAAATCGTCCGTACTCATTTCACCTTCTAACACATATGCTTCACCACTCTAACACGCACTTTTTCACATTAATTAAGAAACTGGAGGATCAGCAATACTTTTGTTATTAGCACTTAATGAGAATAAACACGGAACAAAACAATTGAAAAGTTGAAACAGCTGTTGAACCAGGGCAGCAAAAACCATCGACTGCATTTATATAGTGTATAATAGTGAATATTTTATCGATAACTATGCGGTCACACTGTTGCTCTGGTTTTTTGCCGCCAAAAGTAAATTAACAAATTTTGTAAAACACGCGAAACAAAATATGGATACGGAACTGAAGCAGCAGTTTGACGAGATTGGTGTGGAGCCCAGCGATGCGGTGCTGGACAAGTGTATGGAACTGGCCATCTCGTATGGCTGCATGGATGCCACGGAGTTCGTGGAGCAGTGGATGGCCTTTAGCTTGTCCCACCTGCACGGAGATGAACCAACGCCGGAGAATCTGGGCGAGTTCGAGCGCAAGGTACTCCAGCTGAAGAAGGAAAAGGTGGGCTTCAAGACATCCACACAGAAGACGAAAACGTATGCCCCAGCTCCTGTGGCCGACACGAGTTCTCTCTCTACTTATGGCCTGATCGAGGATGATCCCATGATGGATGACTATGTGAGTGAGTCGGTGACAGACTCCTCGATGATGCACACTCCCAAGTCCAAGAAGGATCCCTCGTCACGCTCGTCTGCCCTCAAGGGCGGCGTTCTCTTCAGTCCCGCCAGCTACACGCCGCAGTCCGCAAAACGTACCCCAGCGTCAGGAACAGGAATAGGCACACCATCAACGACAACAGTGGCTGGAAAACCAGGGGATACTGTGGACACCTTCGGACACCCCAAACTGCTGACCGGAACCACGTGGCAAGCCAAAGTGGATCATGCCCTGTCCGTGTCGCAGAAACTACTGCACCAGGAGGCTCCACTAACGCTCTCCAACCTGAGCTACATGAACGACTTGCTGTGCGATAAGTGTGATGACCTGGAAGACCGGCTGGAGGCCACGGGACGAGCACTGGTGGAGAAGAAGCTCTCCGCGGAGGAAGTGGCCGAGATCAGTTGGTATCCGCAGGACGGGCAGACGCTGCAGGCGCTGCACAAGCTCTATGCCGTGGGCATGATACATTCCGAGGACGATGGACCGCTGGACGCCTACTCCTCCTTCATGGCCGTGACCGATGGCGAGGAGTGCAGCTACCTCGAATTAAATTTCACACGCTTAAAGTCGGCCAGCATCTTCCCGGGCCAAGTGGTGCTGGCCAAGGGGTTCATACCAAAAGGCACGACCTTTGTGGTGGAGGAGATGCACACGGAGCGGAAGCTGACACCGCCCTCGCCCTTGAGGGTGGACAGGGAGCTGCAGTTTGTGGTGGCCGCCGGTCCTTATACCCACAGTACGGATATGTTCTACGATCCGCTGCAAGATCTGCTCAAGTACCTAAAGGACCACAGGCCGGATGTCCTCGTTCTGGTTGGACCCTTTGTGGAAGCGAGTCACAAGCTGGTCGGCGAAATGGCGGAGACCTTCGACTCGTTCTTTGAGAAGATGATTGCGGGCATCATGGAGGTGGTCGGAGCTCACACGACAGTACTGATGGTCAGCAGCCAAAAGGACGCCATGACACACGCAATCTACCCCACCCCGCCGCCAACTCTGCGCAGAACATACCCCAATCTGCACCTGCTGCCTGATCCCTCGATCGTGGACTTGGACGGTATCACTGTGGGCGTCACCTCCACCGATGTCGTGGACCATTTACTCAGCCACGAGTTTGCGGTGAATGGCGGCGAGCGGATGCATCGGGCCATCAACCACCTGTTCAACCAGGGCTCCTTCTATCCCATGTACCCGCCGGCGGATGAGGACATGGCGTACGACTCGCAGCTGGCCCTGAAGTACGCACAGCTGCGGCAACTGCCCAATATCCTGCTGCTGCCCGGAGACCAGAGGCACTTTATACGGCTGGTCAGCGACTGCCTGGTGATCAATCCCGGACGCCTGGCGGACAACAAGGGCGGCACCTTTGCCCGGTTCCTGGTGACGCCAACGGCCCCAACGGCCACGGGCAAGGCCGCCAGCCTGTTCAACAGCGTTGCCTGTCAGGTACAACGTATCTGATCCGAGCCATCGCGCAGTTAGTTGTTAAAGCATTTATTAATTTGTAATTTATATATTTATGTATAATAATAGTTTACAACTAACAGTAGGAAATGATGTCTAAACGTAAAAGTACTCGCTAGGATCCGATCTCTATGTTTATTTGAGATGGAGTCCCTGCCCTGTCCTGACCTGCCCATTCCGTATACAACTCAGTCCCGAAGTTCTTTCGGTATTGGTATCGTTGGCGTTGGCATCGCACAGAAAATAAAAACTATAAACTCCGATTGTATATTTTAACTATACAAAAAATACTGTATGCCATGTTCCGTTCCGTTCCAACAAACATAAACACATCGCTCCAATATAAACCAGACCGAAAATACCCAGCCGATCCAGCGATTTATGGATTAAGGGGTCGCTGTTAAGTAACTGCCGTGCCGTGCCGTGCCGTGCCGTGCCGTGTTAAGTAATCCTCGCCCTTGCTCCTTGTGTCTCTCGTGTTTCGTACTACGTTTTCGTAGTTGGGTTTGGAGTTCCTGGAGCTGCTACTACGGCCGCCTATGACCAAGGCTGCGTGGACTGATGGGCGGCCGTCCAACAACTATCTGCACTGACCTTGGCTGCGTTTAGTTGTTGGGCTCCTGCTTGTATTGTTATTGTCGATTGTTGACCCCCTCCGGATTGTGGACACCGCCGCCGCCGCTGACCATGCTGTGCTCCATGTTCTTGACAATCACGTAGTTGGTAATGTGATTGATTGCCTCGTCCTGGAGCCGCTCCGGCCAACGCTTCATGTACGACTTGATGAAGTCGCTGAACGTGTCCACCTTGTCCGGTGTGTTCTTGTGCGTGTCCACAATGTTCTTCACAATATCCACAAACTTGTCGTAGTCCTCGTGAGATTTCTTGATCTTGTTGTAGTTGGCCACGCCGCCGTTGGTGTTGCCGCCACCGCCGCTTGCCCCGCTGCCGCCCGCAGCATTCATCTGCTGCTCCATGTTGTTGTCCGCGAGGCGAGCGGATGCAGCGGCAGCCACCGCTGCCACGGCCGCCGAGGAGGCCATGAAATTGTCCACGCTGCCCGTGTTCGGCGGTGGCTGGGAGTGGTCCATAAAGTGGCGATGCATGCCGTACTCGGTCCTAGAATAGACGATCAATAAATAAGATTCGGAAAAAGTATGTTCGTAGACTCACTTATAGAACCCCTCCGTGTTGTTGCTATTAAACTCTTGCTGAGACATTGGATTCTTCCAAACTGGTGACTCGGATGTGGATGGTAAACTACTAGTATTCGAGGCACTAGTCATGCGTTTGTCTCTGTGGAAGATCGTATACCCATTAGTTCCCATTCGATATCCAGGCAGCATGGTCATTGCTTACTTGTAACCTGTGTGAGCGGCCAGACTCTTGAAAACATCATCCACTTGACTGTAAAACTTCCAGGTGCTGATTATGCCTGTTGTCTCGAAGGTCTTCTGTTCCTGTCGATATCGCTGCGTAAGATTGTTGACTTTGAAGTGCACCTCCAGTGCGGTAACAGGTACGCCCAGGGACGTTAGCTGCTTGGCCATAGCCACATACAGATGGCCATTGCGTTTGATGGTGCGCAGCTCATAGGCGCAGACTTTCCATAGTTTGATTAGCTCTAGTACCCCACTATCCTCCCATTGTCGACGCTTTTTGTTGAATTTTTCATACTGCAAGAGACACAGGTAAAAAGGCGCACATCCAGGAGAAGATTCTGCTGAGATGGGAGGAGAGTACTCACAGGCATTTCACATGGGTCTCACTGCCGACAAATGGGATTGCCCAACAAACTGCGTATGCCAGCTGGACCAGGACATGAAGCAGGACTTATCTAGTAGGCTGGCATATTGGACACGCGCATCCACTCCTGCAACGGCAACACAAATATTCATAAATTAACACATTTTAAAGCATATGGAATATTTATATAATTGCGGGAAAATCTCATGCAACACCGTTTGTAAGGCGAATCTTTAAAGGTTGCGGGAGGACGAGAACACCTACGCCTCCCCCAACGAACGAACTAACGGGACTTGCCTGCGCAGCACTATAATAACGGATTTTTAATTATCATTAAGCCGGCACACACACATTCACACATATAAGGCCCGCACACAGGCCCACAAAACAGCACACAGACATAATACGCAATCCGTAAACAAATGCAAATATAGGAAGAGAGACACTAGCTGTAAATTGCATCCACCAGACACAAGAGGTGAAGTTGACGCGACGTTGGCTG